TCACAATAAAAGAGAAATTGAAATTTAAAAAAAGAAAGAAATCTAAGCTTAGATATAAAGCAACTATGGAAGCTATCCATAGTAACAATACACCCTGTTGTCATAGCAACCTAAACGATAAAAGCAACTGACCTCGAAGACACATTCGAAGCCTTAAGCATTCCTAAGTGGATCCTTATAACCTGCCAAAGGGCAGACCCGCCACATCATTACAAAATTTCTGAATGAACACTGTAAAAGGGGCTACAACTAATTTTGTTTCCCTTTAACAAAGCTGGACCCTGGCAGTGCCTTGGAATGAAAATTAATTCATTTCCAAAATAATAATATAATAATAATAATAATAATAATAATAATAATAATAATACAGTGGAAACTGTTAAAGGGATTACGATGAATTTTGTTTCTCTTTAGCGAAACTCGAACCTGGCAGCGCCAGAGAATGAAAACTTTTTCGTTTCTAACATAATAAAAATATTAATAAAGTAAACAAGGTGAAACTACCAAGCTAGATAAAATTGTTTATGATTATTTAATTTTTTTTTTGTTTGTTTGTTGTATAGTATTTGTTGTTGTTTTGCGTAGTATTCCAGTATGTATTATCTCGTTACAATTCATGAATGAATGTTTAAGTTGACGGTAAACAATTTGTTTTGTTTTCATTCAAGAAGATATATTACGAAGCACATCATAAAATGTTGATCCATCGCCCATTCCATTGATAATTCATAAGTCAATCAAGACACAGTTTAATCTAAACTCTATACCCATTCCATGATAGTTCATAAGTCAATCAAGACACAGTTTAATCTAAACTCTATACTCATTCCATGATAGTTCATAAGTCATTCAAAACACAGTTTAATCTACGCCTTCCATAATAGTTCATAATACGGTCTTATCCATATGTATGTGTTGTCCGGAATCATTGAATCTCTCAATTATTCAAAGTTGTTTTTTTTTTTTTTTAAATTCTACAATATTTACGGCTATATGAAGGTGCATTTTCGATGATGTTATAGAAAACTCTATAAGCTCTTTATAATTTGCCTTGCTAATTTCAAAATTAAAAATAGTTAGCTATGTAAAAGAATATTATAATTTGAAATGTATTATGTTACCTTGAAATAGTCTCCCCTGATCACGTTCGATGTACGCGTCACATTCATAAAATACACAAGAGAAAAAAAACTGTTTGGCCTGCAAATGTATCCAAAATAAGTAGATCTAGAATCTAGTTGACTTCAAATCACGATAGGAGCTAGATTGCTGAGAATTATAGCTAGTCGCAATGATAAACATGATGCCATAACTGGGACTGACTGATAGAAAAAGCCAGCTGTACTCTTTCTCGGAGGCTGACCACCCGAGAGTCTGTTCTCAGCCGGGCTGATAAAAACCCGGGTATCTATGTTGTTGTTTGTTAAACTCTTCGTTGTAACTCTTTTTGGTAAAAGTAATTTTAAGTGTGCTTCTATTTGGTGTAGAGTAGGAAAGATGATTTTAAATAGTTTAGCTCATTAAATATGTAAGTTTAAATTATTATTTTAAAGCATAAAATATTTAAGCTGTAGCGTGTTTCCATTCAGATCAATAAAAAGGGTAGTTAGGTTTATAGAAAATATTTTCAGATTTTCCAAGTGGGTGACATAAGGCTAATGAGAAGGTGGGGCCGGTATTAGATAATTGGAGGTCCTAAAAGAAGTGATTTTGGTGACCCCAAATGAAATAGACAAATAAAAAATTGCTAAAAAAAAATAAAGCAATTTATTTACAACCTAGTGAACTCCAAGGATAACAGTGGGCAAAAGTTAAGCTATTTCTTCTCTTAAATTTTTTGAGTCCTGTACGAGGCCCCCACCAATTAGAGGCCCTTGGCAGCTATCAAGTTCGACTATGCCTAAAGCCGGCCCTGTTAATGTAGAGTTGCCTTGACAATTTATTTTTACATTTTTTAAAACCCATTAGGTTATTTAGGAAGCTGGTTGAACGGACTTTTATTCCCACATGTCTAGTCTACGTGACCAGATGAAGAAAAAAAAAAAAAGAGAGAGAGAGAGGAGTTATAAGCACTTGTTTAAGTGAAGAGGAGTTATGTGCGCTTGTTTGTTGCTGATATGTTGGTACTGTGAGTGAGGGTGTGTGTCTGTTCCTCTGTTTGTGAATGCTGCTTACGCACGGCTCGGTACGGAGACTGAGATATGTGTTCATGTCTACCCCATCTACCACAACACTGTTAGTTCTTTCCCTCTGCAGACATAAAACTGGCTAATGAACAAGGCGCGCATTCATTCAAAACTATTTACTTAGACATTTGAATAAAGTTTCAAGAGCACGAGGTTTTATTATTTTTTTTTTTTTTGAAATCTCCAATGAGAATACATTCATTTGTTGAAGGGTGTTGTTTTCCTTGAACTCTTGGATGCCATTCCTACGTCATCGCGATTCGAAAGAGGTTCTCAAACTAGGATCAAAGAACATTTTTACATATTTTGTTTTTATTACATATATCAACTCTGTCTGTCTGTCTGATACTGTCTGATACAAATCTTGTACACTTTATTTCTTCCACTTCTAATCCTCGGATCAAGTTGTAAATGTTGCACAATTATTCATTGTCGATAACAAACACAAGCATCAATGAAAGAATAAAGTTGATTAATAAGGGGTAATTAATTCATTGTTTTATCAATCTTATGACGTGGCTGAATGTGTTTATTTACGATTGGTGAGTGAGGTCCATTGCGCAGTCTACAGCAGCACTTGCAAAACTCAAAACAATCTGGACTGACAAAGGCATAACCTTCGACATTAAAATCAGACTTATTAGTTCCCTGGTCATGGCAAATTTCTTAAATGCATGCGAATCTGGGACGCTGACTGCAGAACTCGAGACCTTCCTTCAGGGAACAGTACCAGGAAGAAAAAGAAGAGGAAGGCAGATAAAGCGATGGGAACACAACCTCAAAGAATGGTCAGGGATGTCAGTGAAGGAAATTCTTTCCAAAGCAAAGGACAGAGAGGAATGTAGAAAGACGGTTGACAGATCTTGTGTGGTGCCCCAACGGTCCATCAGACAAAGGGATAGGTGAACTCGAAGATGATTGCTTGCTAGGTATCTCTCGATTTCAAATTTGAGTCTTTTATTCTTTTCTGCAATTTTTGTTTCTTCTTCTTCCCCTGTTGTACTCCAACTAATATCTCACTTAACACACAGCTACTCCGCATCTCAGACGATCTCCAAATGACGACCCTAATGAAGACTCTAAATAACTTTCAAATGTTTATTTACAGATGGAGATGTCGTAGAATGGTCTATCTTGAGCGTCTCTTTTGTCACTACTCGTATTGCGTCTCCGAGATTGTCGTACTCTCTGATCCAAACTATTCTATATTAAGTTTCAAGATAATTACTCAAATTACTTTCTCAGATCTAGTTAATATGTATGAATTGTATCCTAACACTATCCTAACAATATTCGAACACTGCGCACTTTTCAGTGCTTAATTCCATTGAAGTGCTAATGTTTAATTTAAAAATGTCAACGTCAATGTGTTTTACAAAGCTGATATTAACACTCTGTCTGCCTATCTGATGAAAAGTTTGTAGGCTACACGTTATTTCTGCCTCACTTATTCTTGGATCAAGTTGAAACTTTGAACAATTATTTATTGGCGTAGACAATACATGAATCAATTTTTTTAAAATTGTCAACTAATTTAGTCAACTAATTAAAGGTAATTAATTATTTTGTTTGATACCAACAAGGGAAGTTAATCTTTCAGTATTCACGTATATGGCTAAATATGTAGGGTTTGGTCCTTTATAAAATTGAACACGTTATTTCTCCTACAGACTATCCATTCTCAGATCAATTTGAAATTTGAAGCAATTATTTATTGTACTTAACAAAACATTAGTCAATTAATTATTAGTAATTAATTTATAAGGGAAATAACTTCTAAATTATTAATATATATAGGCCTATATATAGTTGTAAGAGCGGAGTTCTTTCCCTTACATAAGCTTTGGTGTTGTTGTTTGTTTGTTTTTTATTTTAAAAAAAAAAGGGGGGGATTTTTGTAATATTTCGCTTTTTTTTTTTTTTAACTTCGCGTTGATTTTTATTCGTAATAGCCTACACTGATAATGATTAGTCTGACATAATCTTTCAACCTCTCTGTCAGAACACTGCAGATACAAGCTAGTCCACACATAAAAATCGTAGATACTACAAGCAATAGCTAAATCCATTGAGTCTTTCAAGCAGTTATTGCCAGGGATGACTTCGTCAGGTACAAAGAGAGGGTGGTGAGATGGGCCTCTCTATTGAAGGATCCTACCGGTCAAACTAGTTAATATCTATAACCTGGTTTCACATAGCAAAGCACGGCTATCAGCACGCAGGCCTACCGATGTTATACAGAGACCCACTACGTGAATCTACTAGTATTATATGTATACATAAGCAAATAGTTATAGGTTTTGCATAGAGATAAACTCAGCCAAGTTTATAGATGAAGTCAATGTTTCCTGCTATTAACTGTAGGCAAAGCTTTATTCAAAATGAAAACGGTGCCGTTTAGAACAATAAGTCTACACTTATACAAGTATTTACATGAGTATTTAACTAACTCTGCGTGCTGGTCTGTCAATAGTTTACATGTATTTTACATTTCAGAATAGTGACCTGTGACCAGGCCGTCTAGTTGTGATGATGGGTGTGGCAATGCATTTTAAAGTCAGAAAAAAAATAATTTTACATAGGTATTTGTTTTTGTGATATAAACTTGGCAACCGTACTGCTAAAGTGAAAATTCTTGAGTCTAAAATTTGGTCCATTTACCTGGAACAGATCTAGACATTTTTCACCTCGTAAATGAATATAAAAAACTTACGCCCTTGCTAAACAAGGCTACATTAAATAATGCCTACAAAGGTGTGGTTGTTTAAAACTGATTGTAGAGTATAGCCTAAATAAAAGAGAAACTATTATTTGGATTTATCATATTTATTTATTAATAGAAGACAGACTTAAAATGGAAAAAAGATATTATTCAACAGTTAAACAATATATAATTATTGATATATATATTTATTTATATATATATATATACAGCAGTGACAACTTTTGATTTCAAGAAAGTGAAAATGTCAAAAAAAGTTTCAACAATTATATATTAAGATTACAAACATTAGGAAAAAATTTTAAAACAAAATACCCCTTTCAGACTTTGTGATGTTTAGGGCAGATGATGCAGATTATTATGATAAAATAATAATGGAAAATCATAACATTTTGTATGAAATTGATCATAAAATATACAAAAAAATTAAATGATAAAATTTGCTGCTATTTCCTTTTTAAAAACATTGTTGGAAATGTGTATTTGTGTATTAATCAATATTTAATGTACAGCTGGTACACTTATGTTAGTTTTTATTTCCATAGACAATTTTTCCCCCTTGAAGGATAAACAATAGATAAAAATAAATACTGAAGGCAATAGTACATTCACCAGGGAAACAGATATAATTGATGGAGTTCTGACTTTTACCTGCTTAATTTGTGCAATATAAATATAGTATCCTCATTTACAGATGTCTTCTCATTGAAACAAAAAAAATAACATTTGAATAATAAGACATTCTCTTTAGTTCAGTGAGAATCAGATTTTAGTTAAGAGTAATGTAAAGAAATCCATTTAGGTCAATAATATGTGATCATAAACCAGTAACTCTTGAAGGTTTTGTGTATTGGAAGTATATTTGAATGATTCAATGTTAATATCTGATCAGATTTCTGTCCATACAATCTCTACAGCCTAATACTCTTATCATATTGTACTTGTGGTATTTGAAGAACTTGATCTGGAACATATCACAAAGCATCAAAAGTACTGTGCTGTTGTACATTTAACATCAGATAGAATAGAGAGGTAGGATATAAATTTATTCTGTGCTGTATTCAAAATATGTTTTGGGTTTCCATCAAATAGTAGTTGGGTATTAAGAGTTAACAGTTAACTCAGTCAAAAACCCAATAGAAATGACAATCACATAAGTAAGTTTTGCTTTGCTTCTATTGACTTTAGTGGAATCAGGAATTTGATATCATTTTTTCTCTATATACTTTCAAACTTGTAACACTTTGGTAACCATATATATAATATACAATGATCAAGACTTATTGACTTAAGGTTAAAACCAATTTGTAAAGTTATCATTCAAAGCATTTAAATATTTCAAACTGAGATTACATTTATTCTTGCTTAATAAATGAAAATGGGAACCTAATGCTTGAAAAAAAAACTGGAAACTGAAAAGATTGAGTTCAAAACCAGATAAAAGATGCTTTTTTTTCTTCCTCTGCTTCCTCATTCTCATTATTATGTTGGAGCGTTCAGATTGCTAGACCAATATATATTATAACCTGAGCAATGGTTTCCAGATTAGGCAGCTCTCCATATAGATTTCTTTTTATAGGCATGTTTTGAGGTCAGTATCTTGTTAGGGCCTCTTGGTAAAGAATACAGCTTTGAAGGACATGGTCAGCATTCTCTGGTGACACTCCACATGGGCAGATTTCACTGTTTTGTTTGTTTTTTTATTTAGGACACAGTTCAAATTTTTTTTTCTATAAATTATTTAGTTAACAGTTGAAATTTCAAAGTAAAAAGTTATATATCAAAAAGCAGATCATTAGAAAAACCGGACATTTGGATTTTTCATGACTCGCATCTGTCATTAGAACCAGGTCAGTTGATATCATTAACTGAACTTTTGTTTTTTTTTTACTCTCAACATCTTCAAGTTGTTTTTGGTAATTCTATAATGTGTTTGCTATGCTAGCATAGGCAATCTAAGCATCTGAGTGCATATCAGCGGAGATAAGGAGATAAAGGTATTGGGACCTAAATCACAGCAGTCTAATGCTAAACTGCTAACAAGAAAGGCCTGGGATGTAACACTCAGCAAGTGCTCAGGTTTCATCATTCTTTGGTCAATTTCCCAATCAATTATTTTGAAAAGCACTTAATACTTAATCTTCAATATTGGAGAGCATTGTTTACACCATAAAGGAAATAGTTCATAGACGTGTTAGTTCAATGAGTCTGTCTTTTGGATCAACAAAAGGTCTTCTGTCAAGGATGAAAAATGTTTTCATGGGGGCTTTCCCTTTCACCTTGGTGAGGCCTCTGTATTCAAGGCTGTAACCATTCTTTATTAAAACAGCTGCTGTTTCTTCAGTTACCTGAACATTAAAAAATATAGCCATAATTAAAATTATGGTAGTCAATAGCAATCAGTGCCTGATTCCATATTTATATTTTTAAAAATTCAACCAAATATTGATGATTTATTTTGTTCTTCTATTTATGTCACTGTGTCAAAGTTCTAGCAAGAAGTCCCCCAAGTTGCAATGCTTATTTTCATTTAAATCATGAACAATCAATAAAAATGTTACCTCAAGCTAACATCTTTTTTTTTTTTCAACTAAGTTTCATATATTGATATATGGTTAATTTTTCATTTGTAGAATACTATTAATAAAACATTGTTAATTGTATTTTTTTTTTAACATTTATATGCTGAAACCAGAACTTACCTGAATTTTACCTGAAACACCTGAACTATCCATTCTACTGGCAACATTGACAGTATCTCCCCAGATGTCATACTGTGGCTTTCTGGCACCTATGACCCCAGCAATGACAGGACCATGATTGGCACCTTTATAAAAAACAAATATTTTTTATATAAGCTAAGAATGAAAATACATTGTACTTTGTAATAATATAAATATAGAAGATAAGATTATATTATTGGTCCAAACAGTAGAAGTTCAGCTTGACTGCTATTGTCCAGCTAATATTACTACTAGAACATTAAAAATATAATCACAAATGCAAATAACATACACACAACAGACACACACAACAGACACACGCAACTAGGGCTTGATGACTGTGAAACATTCTGAATGATGGTGGAATAAAGGATTTTAAAATCTCCGTATTCTAGCCTTAAAGGAGTGGAACTGACCACTTCCTCCAGATCTGATGTTACTGCGGTGTAATGGATGCATATTGTCTATTTATGATTTTATATGTTTTAGAAAGGCATCTTCCATAAAATAGTTCTTCAAGAGATGTTGCATGTATTTGAGTGATATAAGATTTTTTTTGTAAGTCTATTTAAAAGATGTCTTTTATTCCTACCAGTAGATGATGACAAAGCTCTAGGCCATTAAAATACTAATGGTAGCTGTATTTAAAGTTTAATTGTTTTGTTGATTAAAAGTTTTCCGAGCTTCATAACATAGACAAATCTTTGATGTAGTTTTTTTTTTTTTAATTTATGTATAATAAAGTCCTGATAAATAATAAAGTGAATCTTGATTTAAAATTCACTTAAACTTTTATATAAAAAAAAACATAACTAAGTAAAATCACCTATTCTGAGGCTAAACTCATTAAATGAATGCCGGTTGATCAAGTCCAGTGTACCAATCATAGCCAAACTAAACTCTATCAAAGCAACAATATTTTTTTCCCAGGACATATCATCCTGAAATAACAATGAAAACAAAAAGGTTATTGTAAAGTTAATACTTAAATACCCTATCACAACTAGATACTGAACTAAAAAATAATTCTACCTTCCACCACTTTGAAAAAAAAAGTAAAATAGATGTGCTATTAATAAATGGAATCATAACCATAATAGAAAATCAAGTGAAATAAAGTGAAATGGGCTTCTGGTTTAAGAAATCTAGAAAAAAAAGATTATTTCAGAAAACAAGACTAATAATAATAAAGCTTGTCTTCGAGTCTAAAGAATTAAAGAGGAGTGCATTATTTCACATGTTGTGATCTACATATTTTGACACATCCAACACAGACATAACCATTGTCTGCTGAGGACTGTCATACAAACTGACTATATGATGTCCAACTACAAAGTGTTTATAGATGTAACCCTAACTACAAAATCAAAATGCAGAATTGATCAACATTTAGCATTCATCTGAATGGCATAAACTGCTTGGCTAACTATAAAGGGGCTTGTTTGAATCCTGACACCAGCTAAATTTATGTTTGCTGACCACCAAAAAGCAGAATGGAAACCTTCCCCACAAATGTCCACTTGGGAACTTAGTGTACTGAGCATGCTTTAGCATAAAAGATGCATTATAGGAAGGGAATAATAATAAAGTAAGGTAAAGGCTTAGGTAAAAAAGTATGTGTTTTAAAATGTATAGTTATGAGATTATGAATAAATTTAAATAGTTATCATGATAATTGATTAATTAACTTTATAAAATATTTTCATAAATATTGCAAGAAAAGGAAAGACAATAACTTCATTTTTCCTGGATCCTGTGTGAAGTCCAGTAGCTGCCATGTAAGTGCTGCCAATAGTTTTGATTTTCTCCACCTCTTGGTGTTTTTTAATTAACAGCTGAAATAAATTACAAACCAAATGAAGTTCTTAGTTAATAATTTCACAAAATAAGACTTGCAAATAAAAAAAATAATAATTTATAGACCTTTAAGCTAAGCCAAAGAAAGAGGGGGAAACAATTAGTTTTAATGAAGAAAAAAAAAAAGATCAGACAGATTTTAGGAGTCAGTTACAGAGATTGAATCTCAAACAAAGAAATCCTATGCCAAGCTGGGATTCCACCACTTAACAAAATTGTTATAGAGTGTTACATGAGGTTTGTAGGACATGTCCTTCGACAGAATGAAATAGGCATACCAAGTTCGAGTTGCAATTAAATATTGTCATTGTTAATTTATTGAGTTTTCAAGACCCAAAGTGGGTAAGTCAGCTTTAGATTCAGTATATCTATACACAGAATGTAAAATTTTGCAAGGCAATGTAGGCCTATATTACAAGTTGTAATTTACATTTTTTTTTATAAAAATTAATGTGGTAAAAAAATTAATCTTAACTGCAAACACAAGACACTGCAAACAATATTGCCATGCTCAGTTACAGAAAAGAGAGGCGATGTGGCTGAGCAGTAAAGTGATTGGCTTCTGAACCAAGGATCCCGGGTTCAAATCCTGGTGAAGACTGGGATTTGTAATTTTGGGATCTTTGGGTGCCTCTGAGTCCACCCAGCTCTAATGGGTACCTGACAATAGTTGGGGAAAAGTAAAGGTGGTTGGTCATTGTGCTGGCCACATGACACCCTCATTAACCGTAGGCCACAGAAACAGATGACATTTACATCATCTGCCTTATAGACCACAAGGTCTAAAAGGGGAACTTTACTTTTTTTTCTGTCACAGAAAAGAAAAATCTTACCAGATCAAAGTCTGATATAATTTCATTCAACACTCTGATACATTCTAGTCCTTCACCATTGGTTTTGGTTTGTTGGTAGAAGTCTTTGAAGTTTGGTATTGAAGCAAACATCACACACACATCACTACAAGACTCATGATAAAGATCCTGAAACACAAACAAAACACATAAGACAAACAACGCACAAATAGTTACAAAATATGCAAACATACAGAAAACTATTATAAAACAAAAAAAACAACCAGGATAACACTGAAATTTTTTCAATAAATTAATGTAATCATTTATGAATTTCTATGTTGTATTTGATCTACACATATTCTACTTGGAATGGACAAAAAATAAAATTTAACCAGTTATAATTTAGTGTGCCTAGAACAACTAAGTATATTTCATGAAAAAATAAGTTTTGAGGCAGCTTAAAATATTAAAAGAAAAGTGTGATTAAATGAGGAGGAAACCAATGGAGTAGTGAGCGGGTTAAGTCAGCAACTATAAAGGTTTATAAATCAACTAAATAATTATAATTTTATA